CCTTAAGAAATTGTTAAGTGTAAAAGTATAATCACAACTATTTGTTATTTGTATGAATAGACTGAAATTGATAATTATTTTTATGTGAAAAATAAACTGTAAGAGATAATGTTAGAGCTTTTACAAGGGCTGTTTAACTTTTTCACTATGTATTTATAACCATGCCGTTACGTAAAAACCTTATTTTCTTTGACATTCAAGTATTTTTTTTTCCTTGTTTACAATTACCATTCAAATACACATGCATTTACATGTAGAGTAAATGCTGTTAGTGTGCAGTGCAGAAGGGAAATGACAGACATAAAAAAAAATGGCAAGACCTTCAGTCATTTGTTAAAAAAAAAGAAAGCCAGCGAAGGAAGAGTGTACGACAGACAGGGGGAGGGCCCATGCAGATATCCTCATTAAAGCCATGGGAGGAAAAAGTTTGTTTATAATTATATTTTCAGGTTTTATATTGTTGAAGGGCAGGGTTTGACACTAACATTAGTCCGTTAGTCTCAGACTAATACATTTTCATTCGGACTAATAAAATATGTGGCTAATTAGTCCGAACGGACCAATAAAAATTTCTGAAAAACAAAATGAATAAATTACCGATGTCCGATTCTCGACAACTTTTACTGGAAAACCCCGTGTGTATTTTTAGATTTCTAGCTTTTGGCGGGTAGTTACGCAATGCTGGGTCAATTCAGCGCCCAATTTTTCGACTGATCGATATGAAATATAAGGTTTTAGTGATCATGATTTAGTATGACACTTTTAAGAAAGATGTTGGACTTTTTGGATGTAATGTAAAGACAAAAAAAAAACAAACAAAGAAAACAGATCGGGAATACGATCAAACTTGCTGATTGCGAGATTTCAATGAATCTGTGGAATAATATATTTCACTTAAATACTTTGCTTATTTCAAAAAATAATATGTATATTAATTGTCACGTTTAATGAATGTTAAAAAACATTGATGTTTCTTTTTTTTTTTTGACGGACTAATAAAATCACGTGCGGACTAGTAAAAGTAATGAAGCACTAGTCCGGCTGGACTAAAGCCTTAAAAAGTTAGTGTCGAACCCTGAAGGGCATGTCAATTATTATAGAATTATTTAAAACTGTTGCCGTTGAACATTCTATGATTTATATTACATCTGTTTGAAGGTAGGTATTAGCTTATAGGTTGAGTGAAGGACACATGCTGATGCAGACATGAGTAGATATTTTGTTATCATGTGTAGGTATTTTATTAATTAATTTATGAATGTTGTGACAAAATATTAAGTTTTTAGATGGCATACTTTAAAATATAAAATTTATGAAAAGGTATATGCATGAAAATTTTCCTGGTTTACTTTTGTGTGTGTAAAGTGGTGTCCTTATGTGTGACTAACTGTCTAATAATTCATGAGATAATGAGATAATTCATGATTGAGGGTAACTGGGTAAGTATGAACTAACATCAGTGCACCTAATGTGGAAATGTCATGTCTTCCATGTAATATATACCCTATGTGTCTGTAACTGTCTAGGGAGATAATGGGTTCGATTCCCATCACTACAGCACAGCATGTTCTCAAGTAGTGTTTTAGGATTAGGTCTCCAAGCATGAACTAATATATGTTTGCACGATGTTAATGTTCATATCTTGAATTCTTCTGTGTCATTTTTTTTTTGAGTTTCTGTCTTTTTTTAATTTAAAACAGAATAAATTTAAATTCTGAATTAGTGCACTGTTATAGTCCGGTGAAAATTTAATAAATGTCTTAAGATCAAATGAGCCTAATGTACCCCCTATTATTTTATTATTTTTTTCTTTATGTGTAAATGCTATAAAAATAATCAAATTGCACCAGGTCCTGTTAATGTAAATTGACCCAAGAATTTAAAAAATGCTTTTATCTTGTCAACAACTTTAGATCTTGCAGACAATTCCTCAGACCTCAATATGTGGAATTGAAGATGGGGTTGATACCAGTACTACATGCACATCATCGAACATGTCCCAAGGGACATCTACTCAGGTACATGTATCACAGGGAGGTCAAGACAGATGTGTTGAGGCAGTCCCTTCAGTGATTATCACAGAGGGTAAGATTATGACAATATATTTCTGTCAATATATATATATATATATATATATATAGAGAGAGAGAGAGAGAGAGAGAGAGAGAGAGAGAGAGAGAGAGAGAGAGAGATCTTGAGAGTACTGAATGCATTTCAACACAAACACACAGACACATATGTGTATTTTTTCCCATAAATGAAAAAGTATATTTACATAAAGAAATACATTTGTTGCAGTTCCAGCTAAAGAACTTGTGAACTCCTTTAATGATGGACCAGTTTTCTCTTTAGGCTAGTACTTGCATATTACAATGTGATTTGAGATTATACCAAGCAGGATAAAAAAAATCTTAATAAGTTTTCATGTAGGCACATATATATATATTATTAACCTTGTTATAAATTATTTGTAAAGACTCTCAAGTATCAACAGGAACTGACTCATCTTTATTAAGTCAAGGTAAGTGTAAATCAATATGGTCAGATACAAATGTATTTTTTAGGAGAATATAAGGAAAGAAATGTTGATCATATATTGATATTAAGAATCCCAATAATGTGGGTTCAAGTTTTGTAAAGTAAATCCATATCCCCCTGAGGGCTAGGATAGGGATTGATCAAAATTTTTCTTGTTAATTTCATAGTGAAAACAAAGATTGACCAAGAGCAAGCTCAGGTTGACTCAGTACTGTTTAGGATTGTGGCTCTTGTTTTTCTTCTTTTTTTAAATTCCAGCATGTATTAATGAAAGTTATAAATCATTTAAACATATTTTTTTTCAAAAGAAATGATAATTGATATGCTATTTTATACCAGTAATTGTCTGCAAGCATTCCTTTGACTTTACAGAGGAATCCTGTTTGCTAACAGCACCATCACCTAGACATTCCAGAGGTAAGAGAGTTAAAGAAATAATTGGCTCAAAGATTGTCTACGATGTATTGATCAATATGCCTTTTCTCTAGTTTTCAGTTATAACAATGAGCATTTAAAAAAAAAAAAAAAAAATAATGCTTTTTTTAAAATCAGGGACAGCATCATCTAGAAATTCTGGCAATGTTCTAAGTGGTAATGTATGCAAAACTGAAGAAATACAAAGGGTTAAAATGCCCAAGTAGTAGCTAGGAGATGTGTAAACATGTATGTACTTGAACTAAATCTAACATCCCCCCCCCCCCAAGTAATTTGCAAGAATTTGCCATGATAACTTTATAGGGGGAAAAAGTGTTTCAGTGTTTATTAAAAAAAAAATAATGAAAGAGAAGAAAAAAAAATCATCACTTGCGAACAATTAATCTAAGTTTTATGGTTCTTTTTGTTAAATTCTTTTAAACCAAGTTTAATTGTGAATTTATTTTATACTGTTTTAAAAATAAAACCCAAACATGAAATAAATTTTCCTTTTAAAAAGGTAAACGAAGAGCTCAGTTATGTGAATATTCGACAGAAACTCAGAGACTTGTTGAAATTGAGGAAGAAAAACTAGCCATAAAGAAGAAAAGACTGGAGATAGAACAAGAAAAACTTCAGATTTTACGAAATGTGTATTCTTTATTGCAGGAAAAATCAACTTCCAGTGTTCCCTCCTTTAGCCGTCTTCTATCCGAGTTTTAATAATAACCCCCCACCCCACCCCACCCACACATACAAATGAAGTTTTGGGGTACATAGGAATCACCTTGTCCGTCTGTCCATGCAATCTTGTCCAGGCTATAACTTTGTAATGGAGAATCATTGGAGATTCATGCTTGGTACAAAGATTGTTTATGATATGACAGTTTGTGGTGATTTTGACCCAGGTCATTCCAGCAAGTTCAAGGTCACTAGCAGAAAAAGGGTAAAATTCTTTTATTAGGGTTAAACTTTGTAATGGAGATTCATTGGAAACTCATGCATGATACCAGGATTGTTTATAATCTGAGGGTGTGTCATGAACTTTACCCAAGGTCATTCCTGCAAGTTCAAGGTCACTGGCAGAAAAAAGTGTAAGTTTCTTGTCTGGGCTATACATGTAACTTTGTTGCTTGTTACAAAGTCCAAAAGCCGAAGGGTCAAGGACTCAAGGTCGACCTTTTTTGATATTTCTCCATCTGAATGTTTCTCCCCAGTTTTCTCACCCTCTTTCCTATCTTAAGTGGGGGACACAAATTCTTTGATTTTACATTTTTCATTTTCATGAAACTCGCATGGTATGTTTTGTGTATTTAGTTTTTGTGCTGAGTTTTTTATATATTGATTTGTTTAAATTCATTTTTATCGGAGAATTTGATCTATTGAATGGAATTGATAAATTAAAAAGAAAACAAACTAAGGTAATAATTATATATTCACTGTATTTTACTGTAACAAATGATTATTTTTCCTGTGACAGTATATTGTAATACCTGATGACAAATTTGAATGGAATTTAAATTATGACTTAACATTAATTACAATGACAGCTAATCACTGGTTTTATTTGTGAACTTAGGGAACAAAAACATCTCTGACTAAAAACATTTTTAAACAAATTTGCATGTTTAACAAAAATTGGTGGCATATATATTAACTGAAATTAAAATTTGTATACTGGATACATTTATATTAATTGAAAAAAAAAAGACACAGGAAAGGAAAATTAACTGGACTTTCATGTTGTAACATGATTACAAATTACAGTGTTCACTTTTCAAAAGCATAGAACAGAATTTGAAAATTTCACGCAGTCTTAAAACCTTTGGAAATATCATAGTTTGTAGAAAATTTAATATGGTGATGATAAATATCAAAGACTCATAGATTCTCATGCACAGAAAGACCAAAAATTACCTCTTTCATTCACAATAGAAATTGCCACCCTTCACATCATTAATACACATATCTTGTTTTTAAAAATATACATACACTGTATTACTTGTATTTAAAAGAAAAATTCTTTCAAAGTAGTTATTTTTTTTTAAATCAAATAGTATAATGAACTTATTATTTACAGCAATTTATTTTGATTTTGGTAATGGAAAGGTTATAATTTGTATGTTTTCTCAATAAACATACTTCCATGCATATAGGCACAACTGAAGTTTTGTTGAATAATTTTCTGATGCACACCAGAGTAAGTATTACACATTACATTTATATCCAACCTAGAATGTACATGTATTACTGTAAAATTTTATAATGAAAACTTTTATCAGACTGCTATATTTCATGTATTAGGTTAGTTTAACTTCATTCTTTAAAGTAAAGCACATTGTAATTCTTTTAACAGGATAACCAAAATATTTATAAATGATGTCTACATTTACAAAAGTTATTTCCCCTTTGCAGGGTTAAGCTGGACATACATTAAGGTATGATACTTTTTATTCCTCCATAACCATTACCAATTTTGATATATACTGACAAAGGGAAATGAAACTTAAGAATGCAGAGTAAAATTATTATTCTACATATATACCCCTCAATCAACCAGTAAAATACTTTGTGAATTTTTCATAAATCCTGATTTTTAGCTCAGCTCAAGTAAGCTTTTCTGATCAAATATTGTCTGTTGTCTGTCATCGTGGTTGTTGTCATAATTTTTTTTTTTAACATTTTCATCTTCTTCTCCATAACCACTGATCCAATTTCAACCAAACTTGGCACAATGTATCCTTGGGTAAAGGAGATTAAAGCTTGTTCAAATGAAGGGCCACACCCTTTTAGCCTTAGGAAGATAATTAAGAAAATGAAATAATTATGTGGGGTCATAAAAAATATCTTCTTCTCAAGAACCACTCTGCCAGAAAAGATGAAAGTTATGTGAAATCTTCCTGACATAGTGTAGATTCAAGTTTCTCCAAATCATGACCCCTTGGGCAAGGGTGGGGTCACAATGAGGGAAGGAATATGTAATGGGATAAATCGTTAAAAATCTTCTTCCCAAGAATAGCAAAGTCATGATTAGTCATATTAATTCAGAAGCATCCTCAGGTAGTGTAGATTCAAGTTTGTTCAAATCATTTTCCCAAGTGTAGGGCAGGGCCACAATAGAAGATCAAACTTGTAAAAAAAAATTCTTCTGAAGTCAAAGAAATATGGATGGAAGCATCCTCAGTTAGTGTAGATTCAAGTATGAACAAGTCATGCCTGTCTCCCCTTTCTAGCCAATGTCCTCGGGTGTGTGATGTGGCCCATGGGCCTCCTGTTTCCATTAAAGGGGCCTGGACACAGTTTACAATTTAAATTTTTATGGTTATTCAAAAAATAAGGCCAGATGAATTAAACTTACATGAATAATTTTAGAATTCATTGGCATTCATCTTTACATCATGTCAAACAACTGTTTTTGTAAACAGGGCACAAGCTCTGTTATTGTTTATGTTTACGCTTCACCGTGTGTGTTCAATTTGTTGAACTTTACAGACATTACTGAGCACAGACTGACAATACTGAAATGCTGTAGTCACAATTATATATCCCTGACATTATACAGAAAATTTGAGAAAATAATAACTCAAATCAGTGTCCAAGCCCCTTTAAGTTGTTGAGAAATAAGTATGTTTATCATTAAAACCGCCTAACAATGATATTTCTTATATTTATAGCACTGGCAATATTTTGTGTGTTTACAGTATGGCTGTCGGAATAGATGGAAACTTGTCCTGCCACTGGTGTTGGAAGTTTTTCTTCTATGGCCCTGTTGTGCAGACGGCAACAACACTCAATAATACGAACGCATTTTGTTGGGGTGTATGCTAAAGCCCCACCTGTTTTGTGAAGACATCTGGAATGAAATTACAATCACATTGTTATATATGGATTAGATAGCAGCAGTAAGTAATTATAATGATTGAAAGTAATTTTTCCCCCTCTTTTCTTATACTAATGCATTAATGTATTTCGCAGCTATGTTAAGGCTTCCCGAAGCTTTAAAATGCGCTCAAAACATTATATGTCATTGCGAGGTCTGTTTTGGTTTTAATTTATAAGTATACTGTATTGAACTTTAGTACTTCCAATTTATATAAAGGGCTTCCTCGGCTATATATTAGCATATTTGTTATGATATCACATGACTTTGTTGATCACGTGACGGTCATTTATAATTTTTTGAAGTGTTTCATATAAATTGCTTCGGCGCAGCTGATTAACACAATAATTATTAACATTTTGTTATATAAATAAACTCCTCGTATCCTTGTGTATCCGAAATGTGCTTGGGAAAAGTCATAGTATTACTTGGGTACAAAATATTTCCTGAGAAATTCAACTTACCTACAAATTTGAGGGTATTTTCCACACAATATCGTAATCTGTATTAAAACAAAGCCAACACACATTTTTCCCAAGCAAGATTCAGTTAGAGAACAACCTCTTCTTACAGATTTCCACAAAAATTCTCAGATTAATCCTCATTAATCACCTGCGCCAGACTCTTTTATACACACAAAATAAATTCTACCTCCTACCACGGGTATAAAACAGAGTACATTTCAAAAGTATATTTTTCATAAGCATTTTGAACATGATGAATTTCAATCAAGGGTAGGTAAGCGGTGTATTTTTAAAATATTCGGACATATAAGACTTAAAAAACCTTTAACGACCCGTGAATTTTGCAATAGCTATCTAGCATTTTACATGCAGTTTGAATTAAAGTGTAAATTTCATGTCACTCTCCCCGTCATAACACCTCAAGTTTGCAGTGACCTGACGTCATTTTCCATTATGACGTCATATTTGGTAGTTCAGAGATGTGAAGGCACAGAGTGCACTGTCATATTCTACGGGAAGCCTTAACCTACCTGTGTTCTGTATGTTTTCATGTTTTCCTTTTATATTACGTTTTTTTTTTATTGTGTTTTGCGTCTATGATTAGTCATATCTATATTTTGTATACAGTGGTTCTGTAATACTCAAAACTGAATTAAATCATTTATTTTTTTTACTTGCCTGAATCTAGACTTTAAGACACCGAAGGCCCTCTCAACGCAATTCCTTGTTTTGATGTGGCTCTCATTATACTTCTCCTGCTGTTTGGTCTGTGGAGAGAGTATTGGAGTCATTAGCCATGGGCGGAGAGGGTAACCACTGTCGCCCAAAAGCCAGCCCCCACCTGGTAGCTGCTCCATCGTTTCTGGAATGTTGCTGTTTGCAAGTATGTATGCGTCATGGGTTGCTCCTCCATACTTGCAAACTATATTTATAAATCTGAAATACATGATTAAATATTTGTTAAGATCATGCAATGTGGAAATCAGTGGTAGACACACAAATTCTTTTTCATTGATATATCCAGCAGTATTGCAATACCAATTTTTTTTTAGCTCACCAGAGCCAAAGGCTCAAGTGAGAATTCTGATCACAATTTGGCCGTTGTCTGCCGTCGTCGGTGTTGGTTTCAGCGTCATTAACTTTTTAGCTCACCTGAGCTGAAAGCTCAAGTGAGCTTTTCTGATCACCGTTTGTCCATTGTCCGTCCATCTGTCTGCCCGTCTGTCTGTAAACTTTTCACATTTTCAACTTCTTCTCAAGAACCACTGGGCCAATTTTAACCAAACTTGGTACAAAGCATCCTTATGTGAAGGAGAGTTTAAATTGTTAAATTGAAGGGCCAAGCCCTCTTACAAAGGGAGATATCAAGAAAAGACAAAAATGGGGTGGGGTCATTAAAAAATCTTCTTCTCAAGAACCACTGGGCCAGAAAAGCTGAAACTCATGTGAAAGCATCCTTGGGTAGTGTAGATTCGAAATTTTTATTCACTGTCAACAACATAGCCCATTAAACGCAAAAACCAGATAAAATAAATCTGCTTGTTTACCAGTCCCTCTCATCAGAAGCCATGACAGTTCTCGCGTGATGCACTGAGACTTGCGCTTGAAAATTATAAATTACTTTGTAAAGAAGATTTTTGGGTTACTAAATGATTGTGCTGTATGGCATCCCTAAACATTGATAAATAAAACTATTCCATGTGACATTTTTTTGTAAAAAGCGATATTTATGCCTAAAATAAGGTAATTCCTACAGAGATCCGCTCCCTAGAGATCCCTAGTCTCATTGGCTGTCCCAAAATAAAATCGATCAAGGTCAGTAAACATGGCAGATAAATTCAAGTTGTGATGTTGACATACACGAAAAATAACCGATATATGGATTGTTCTGTGTATGTTCGGATTGATTTATGTTTTGCATAACTACATTTTTGGAGTTCAGGTAAGAAATGTTAATAAAATAGCCATTTACTGATAATTTAATCCGAAATCCGTGCGGGAGTGAATCACTCCCGCACTTGCACAATTACGGAGATCCTAAGGAGTTGTAGCCCTCCCCCCCCCCCCCCCCAAAAAAAAGGAGAGGGCTACATTATTGCAGCTATAGGGAATCCAATTATTACATTGAAATATATAGAAAAAATTTTCTTCTCAAGAAGAACTAGGCCAGAAAAGCTGAATCTTATGTGGAATCATCATGGGGTAGTGTAGATTCTAAATTTTTCAAATCATGACCCCCGGGGGTAGGGTGGGGCCATAATAGGTATAAATACAAGGGAAAATCTGGTGAAGAACAGTTGGGCCAATGTAACTTAGGTGAGTGTTGTGGCCCATGTTACAATATCATCTTCTCCAGAACCACTGAACTTGTTTCAACCAAACTTAGCATAGAGTATCCTTGGGTGAAGGGAATTCAAATTTGTTCAAATGAAAGGCCACACTTTCTTCTAAGGGGAGATAATTAAGAATTAGTAAAAAAGATAAGGCATCTATTAAAAATCTTCTTCTGAAGAACCACTGGGCCAGGAAAGATGAAACTTATGTACAATCATCCTCGGGAAGTGTATATTCAAGGTGTTCAAATCATAACCCTTGGAGGTAGGATGGGGCCACAATGGGGGATCAAAGTTTTACCTAGGAATACATAGGAAAAATCTTTAAAAATCTTCTTCTCAAGGACAAAGCCACGATTAGTCCTATTGATTTAGAATCATCCTCAGGTAGTGTAGATTCAAATTTGTTCAAATCATGACCTCTGGGGGTAGGGTGGGACCACAATGGGGGATCAAAGCTTTACATATGAACATATAGGAGAAGAAATCTGCTGATGAAGAACAGCAGGGCCATATTGTCTCAGTTAAGCGTTGTGGCCCATGGGCCTCTTGTTTACTGCTTGTGATATTAAAAGAATACTGGCACTGTGTTTATGCACATAGACTTTGATTTATATGAAAGGCTATATCAAAGAACACCACATATACAGATTTTCCTAATAGGATATTTACTACAGCAATGACAGACTTACTTTTTCGTAAAAAAAAGGAATATTATTAAAATATATGATATATATTTACTTCAGGTCAGCTGTCACAATTCCTTGCATATTAATGGCATGAAACCCTTTCCTGGACACAAACACGTGTTCATCATCTGTAGACATTCCAATGATGGGAATCAGAGTCCCATCAATGGCCCCGACAACATTAGGAAAATTGGACAATCTCAGAAAGTCTTCTTTGGTTTTCAGAATCTCAGCTGGTCGAGAAGGGAAGATTATATTATCTAAACTTCCATTCAGGGCATCGACAACATCCATAAACATTCTGCTAAATGAGGGCTGAGAGATGCCATGAATGTCTGCAGCCTCAGACTGGAAATCTCCTTTGGCCAGGACCCTGAGAGTTGACAATACCTAAGAATTTTGTACATAAATATTTCTAAATTGCATTTTCCTGTGGTATTTAAATTAATTATGTTTTCTCTGGATTAATATAAATGTTTAATAAATATGAGTATTTGAATATTTAACTATTCAATTGTATTAAATTGCTACAGAAGGGAATTACTTGAACATATGTACTGACATACACATCTGTTGCAAATTAAGAGGTCATGGCCTGATGTAGGTCACAGTTTGAGGCAACATGCAGACAATATTTCAGTGAGTGGGTGGTGTAACATTTAAATTGAAATGTTTGCCTCAAATATAAAAAGGAGAAATGCCCATGAATAAAAAAAAAATTATAAGAGGCTTCACAGGATTTCATGTGACTAGTGAGCATTTAAACATTATTTATTTCTTAAGAATCTCAGAGGGTTTAGAAAATTTGATAATATATAAATCATGTTTTTGTACACTTAATTATCTTCTTTCTAAATTGACACTTGAGTTCAAGGTCAAAACATATTTAAGAGCTGTCTATACACTGCATACTAAAGAGTTCTGATTGTGTGGTATGTCTAGATGCAGATTGAGTAATCTGCCCCTTAATCTAGAATATAATAAATTGAAATGTACAATGTATCACTTAATGTGTGATCAAATTAAATTTTTCATAAGATTTAATAGGCCAATATGAATAGATTGAACACTGCATTTGCATGTATCTTGTCCACTTGTGTAAAAAACAGTGATTTCTGTTCATCAGTACTCCATTGCCTTGAAACATTTTTCCTGGAGGTAAATGCAAGGTACCCTATGTTGAATATATTATTGATAAGCTCAGTAAATACACCTTTACACACTATTATTTTCTCTATGTGCAAAATTAAAAACTCCTATAGTGCATAGAGGGAAAGATATATATACTATATAGTATATGGTCACTCAGGTGAGCATTGTGGCCTATTGACATTTCTTTCCTTCTTTTATGAAAGGGTTATATTCTTGAGAGGAGGGAATGTTTGACATATTAAAAATCTCCTTTTCCTACATTTTCTGCCAAGTCTGTATTAACGATCTGCTCTAGCAAGTACATGAAATGTGCAGTATTGTAAATGAATACTATTCACTGAATAGATCTAAAATATAAATTATATATTGCAGAAACAATAATTATTGTTTTTAATGATTAGGTCTTTCCAATATATGATGACGAAAAATGCACGTATCGTTTCAATAATGTATATATATTGAAACTGATAAGACGGAATATGAACGGAAACGAGTCTTGTTCATTAGATCCGCCACTATACACTCATCATGATTAGATCGGGCTCAATATTTACAAAACATCTTACCATAGAAGTCACTGGCAAAGGATTTGATCTGTTTGTGGGTCTCTCCAAGCGGTTTTCAACATTTTGTACAAAATCTAAGATGGTGTGCCGTGGGAATCTATATCTTTGTATCAATTCGAGGTCGCTGTAAATATCTAACGGATTGGTACGATCTCGGAAAACTCGCTGGCGTCTTAAACTACGATCTCTTGCTATGGTCAGTAGAAGTGCTGCCATTTTCTTGCTCGTAAATAAAGATAAGTGTAGGGGCACAGTAGACGTAGATTTACGTTTAATTATGACGTAATTTAACGTCTACGATTTTTAGTAAATACGGTTTTAGACGTAAATCCACGCGACGTCTGAACTTACGTCTACGTTTACGTCTACGAACTTTCGTAAATATGAACACTGGCCCCTTGTGACCCCTTATTACGTAACATATGATCAGAATCTTATTATATATTGTTGTAAATCATTAAGATAAACATTTTTGTTTCAGAAATTTATTACAAATTATTGATGGTTAAAGAGTTATAGATGAAAGACTTTTGGCCCCTATGAGCCCCTAATTTAAGGGGTCAGCCCCTTTTTCTTGATATCAAATGAAAGATCTTGTGATTTTGAAGACTTTTTGTTCAACAACTATTCAGAGATTTCTTTTCGTTGTGGAGATATGCTGAATGGAAATATTTAGGAGCCACCCCTTCAGGTCCTTAATGGGGCCGTTTAACAAAAATTGAAAGGGTGCATATTGTTTAGAACTTTATTCTGACCATCTTTTGTTCAGTATTGCTTATCAAAATATTCCCCCTTTTCGAGATATAAAGCGTCAAAGATTTAGCATTCTGGCCCCTTGTGACCCCTTATTGCATAACATATGATCAGAATCTTATCATATATTGTTGTAAATCGGTAAGATAAACACCTTTGCTTCAGTAATGTATTACAAATTATTGATCGTTAAAGAGTTATAGATGAAAGACTCTTGGCCCCTCTGAGCCCCTAATTTGAGGGGTCAGCCCCCTTTTCTTGATATCAATTGAAAGGTCTTGTAATTTTGAAGACTTTTTGTTCAACAACTATTCAGAGATTTCCTTTCGTTGTGGAGATATGCTGAATGGAAATATTTAGGGGCCACCCTTTCAGGTCCTTAATGGGGCCGTCTGACAAAAACTGAAAGGGTGCATATTGTTTAGAACATTATTCTGACCATCTTTTGTTCAGTATTGCTTATCAAAATATTCCCCCTTTTCGAGATATAAAGCGTCAAAGATTTAGCATTCTGGCCCCTTGTGACCCCTTATTACGTAACATATGATCAGCATCTTGTCATATATTGTTGTAAATCGTTAAGATAAGCATCTTTGCTTCAGTAATGTATTACAAATTATTCATCGTTAAAGAACTATAGATGAAAGATTTTGGCCCCTCTGAGTCCCTAATTTGAGGGATCAACCCCTTTTTCTTGATATCAAATGAAAGGTCGTATCATTCTGCAAAACTTTTCTTCTATATGTTTTAACAAATTCTTAACAGGTATGAAGATATGAAAGAAGAGGTGTAAAATTTTGTGAGATGTTTCTGAGACATTTTTTGAGCCCTACCGAGCTTCGGTGCCTTTTGCACTAGAGAGATTTGGACACCTGCCTGCAAATCTACCAACCTTCCCCTACTTTCACTGAAAATCTTGCCTCAATATCTTAAGTCGTTTCGGAGGAGTTTCCAGGACAAGCCGACCCTCTAAAAATCAGAAAATCCTAAATATCTCGAGATGGAAAGTGACGTCATCAACGAAAAAAATTTCCAATAAGGTTCAGATCAATCCCTATCAGATCTGAAAGTTTCATGAAAATCGGCCAAGACGTTTTCGAGAACTCGCGTGCACAAAATCGGTAAGAATAATAATAATAATAATAATAGGGAAAAAGAAACCGAAAGAAAACAATAAGGTCTTCCGTTGGAGACGGAAGACCTTAACTAGATGAGATCTCGTTGCGATCAACGAGTAGGTCTTCCGTCCGATTTTTCGATAAGATGAGATATGATTTTGACTATGATCTTTGTTAAAAGATAATAATATATAAAGACTTCCCTAATTAGATTTCAATCCTTGGATTTATAAACATTATCAAAGAGCTATCGATGAATTGTTTTTGGCCCCTCTGAACCCCTAGTTTGAGGGGTCAGCCCCTTTTTCTTGATATCAATTAAAAGGTCTTGTGATTTTGAAAACGTTTTGTTCAACAACTATTCAGAGATTTCCTTTCGTTGTGGAAATATGCTGAATGGAAATATTTAGGGGCCACCCCTCCAAGTCCTTAATGGGGCCGTTTGACAGAAATTGAAAGGGTGCATATTGTTTAGAACATTATTCTGACCATCTTTTGTTCAGTATTGCTTTTCAAAATATTCCCCCTTTTCGAGATATAAAACATCAAAAATTTAGTATTCTGGCCCCTTGTGACCCCTTATTACATAAAATATGATCAGAATCTTATCATATATTGTCGTAAATTGTTAAGATAAGCATCTTTGCTTCAGTAATGTATTACAAATTATTGATCGTTAAAGAGTTATAGGTGAAAGACTATTGGCCCCTCTGAGTCCCTAATTTTAGGGGCCAGCCCCTTTTTCTTGATATCAAATGAAAGGTCTTGTGATTTTGAAGACTTTTTGTTCAACAACTATTCAGAGATTTCTTTTCGTTGTGGAGATATGCTGAATGGAAATATTTAGGGGCCACCCCTTCAAGTCCTTAATGGGGCCGTTTGACAAAAATTGAAAGGGTGCATATTGTTTAGAACATTATTCTGACCATCTTTTGTTCAGTATTGCTTATCAAAATATTCCCCCTTTTCGAGATATAAAGCGTCAAAGATTTAGTATTCTGGCCCCTTGTGACCCCTTATTACGTAACATATCATCAGAATCTTATCATATATTGTTGTAAATCGTTAAGATAAGCATCTTTGCTTCAGTAATGTATTACAAATTATTCATCGTTAAAGAGTTATAGGTTGAAGACTTTTGGCCCCTATGAGCCCCTAATTTAAGGGGTCAGCCCCTTTTTCTTGATATCAAATGAAAGATCTTGTGATTTTGAAGACTTTTTGTTGAACAACTATTCAGAGATTTCTTTTCGTTGTGGAGATATGCTGAATGGAAATATTTAGGAGCCACCCCTTCAGGTCCTTAATGGGGCCGTCTGACAAAAATTGAAAGAGTGCATGTTGTTTAGAACATTATTCTGACCATCTTTTGTTCAGTATTGCTTATCAAAATATTCTCCCTTTTCGAGATATAAAGCGTCAAAGATTTAGCATTCTGGCCCCTTGTGACCCCTTATTACGTAACATATGATCAGAATCTTATCATATATTGTTGTAAATCATTAAGATAAACATTTTTGTTTCAGTAATGTATTACAAATCATTGATGGTTAAAGAGTTATAGATGAAAGACTTTTGGCCCCCATCAGCCCCTAATTTGAAGGGTCAGCCCCTTTTTCTTGATATCAAATGAAAGGTCTTGTGATTTTGAAGACTTTGTTCAACAACTATTCAGAGATTTCTTTTCGTTGTGGAGATATGTTGAATGGAAATATTTAGGGGCCACCCCTTCAGGTCCTTAATGGGGCCGTCTGACAAAAATTGAAAGAGTGCATGTTGTTTAGAACATTATTCTGACCATCTTTTGTTCAGTATTGCTTATTAAAATATTCTCCCTTTTCGAGATATAAAGCGTCAAAGATTTAGCATTCTGGCCCCTTGTGACCCCTTATTACGTAACATATGATCAGAATCTTATCATATATTGTTGTAAATCGTTAAGATAAACATTTTTGCTTCAGTAATGTATTACAAATTATTGATGGTTAAAGAGTTATAGATGAAAGACTTTTGGCCTCTCTCAGCCCCTAATTTGAAGGGTCAGCCCCCTTTTCTTGATATCAAATGAAAGGTCGTATCATTCTGCACAACTTTTCTTCTATATGTTTTAACAAATTATTAACATATATGAAGATATGAAAGAAAAGGTGTAAAATTTTGTGAGATGTTTCTGAGACATTTTTTGAGCCCTACCGAGCTTCGGCGCCTTTTGAGCTAGAGAGATTTGGGC